GTTGTTGGGTGTAAATTGTTTGTGTAAACCCTGTTCTTAAATAAACTCCATTACAAAAATCTCATCTGGATATCTCTCCCCAAGCTTGACGTTTCAACGCAACCCGCACGCTTTGCGACACAATATACCCTACAGGAAAAGTGGAAAACGCAGAAGTAACGTGTTCTAAGTCTTATTTTTAAAATCTCTTTGCCCATGAAATAATAATCACTCAATCTACAGTATGTTTCTGAAGCTCGATTATTGTGCATAAATTGCTTGTGTATCCCGATTACGATTTTAGTTCAGTTTCCCATAATCCATTGAGCAAATTGTAGTATGGACCCTTGTTTTCCCCCTGGACATAAAAATATAGCTTCACTATCCACGTTTTTTGTTAGTTGTGATACGAGCACAGCCGGGGTGTGTGGGTTGGTAATTTGTTAGCAATACAATAAAATCACAATCAAATAAAAATAACAATACCATAAAACTGAAGCAAACAAATTTCACTCTGATATTACTAGGGAACGGCAATTTCTAATTTTCAAAAGTTTCCAACCCCATTTTGTTGGCACCTTTAATCCTTATTCAACTATCTACACTTAAGTGTAAGGTAGAGACTTCGGAGCGCTGAAGAAAACGTGAGCAGATTATGCTTCTCACTTGTACGTTAGTTTTTTTACTGTTGTTTGGTGAAATAAATCAAACAAAACAACGGGTATAACCTGTTCTTAAATATAACTCACAATAAACATCACACCAGAATCACAGAACAAATCACCAGAATATCTCGCCGTCGTAACACAACGAATTGAATCATATCATCGTTTACATTTCACAAAATAGTCACACAAATATTCCATTTTTTTTCGAAGTGAATCAGTGACATCTCTATATTCTATTCCCAACTTGAACATAGCCCTTTTGTTTCCTTTTAAACAACGGTAAGGGAAGAGGAAAAAACGATAATGATATTTGAAGGAAAATGAGAAAATTTCTGTACCAAGGAAAATGAAAGAGCGGCCCGCGCCGCGCCGCCCAGAGGCAGGGAAGCGCGCGGGGCCGCGCCCGGGCGAGGGACGACTCCATCGCTCGGGAGGCGAACGGCCGGTCGCCGCCCCTTGTTCAACACACGCACTGTGTTAGGTCCAGGTTTAAAGCGACGCATCGGTGAAATTTAGATGAAAAATCGAAAAAAAAATATCGATGTTTGATTGCTTGTTTTTATTCGAATGAAGTTTATTTTTATTTATTTAACGTCAAAAAGAACCGTTAAAAACTTGTGATGTACAATGGGGAGAATTGCATGGTTTCCTGAACTCTGAGAAATCTGTTCTAACTCATATACAGTGAATTATGAATACATGTAGCATCAGCCGTTTTTGGCAAGAATTGATATGAAAATATCCGCTCCCATGTAATAAAAACTTGTCTACTCCTACTTTCATGGTTTGAAATAATGTTTGGAATTCATAACGTGTTTAGGGCGTAACGCAATAATTTAAATATATGTTTTAGCAATGTTCCTTTAAGGGTTGGAACAGTCCTTTCCTGGGCGTTTTTTTATTGGCATGATGAAGTATGATGTATGGCTTGTTTTTGCAACTAAAATTTATTGTAGGAGAATGGAGAGATAAAAGTATTTCTCTAGATGAAAATAACAAGGCTACCCGACAGACAGACTTCTAATCGCATTTCTCCAACTCAAATTTTATAGCATTTTCATATAATTAAAATGGTCCGTGAATTGCAAATTTCATTCGATTTGTCTGTTATTTTTTTAAAGAATGTAATGTAACTGATCGCACAACTTTTTATCTTATATAATCATAAGTATCCATATAAGAACACTTTTGTTGGAACATCACTTTAAAAATGAAAAAAAAGATTTTTTTTATAAAGGAATCAATAAGCATTTTTTAAAGCGCTCTAAAGATTTCTCTACTGCAGCCTCACGTAACAAAATAAAATTTTGAGAGTGAATGGCTCACAGATTCATCGTATGGTGCTATTTGATCATTTGATTAAAAATGCAATGAAATCCTTAATATCTACTGAATTGTCAAACATAGTTTAAATTTAGCATGTAATATCATAATTGTGTTATTAAAGTTTGTGCAAAATTCTAAATTAGTAAGTTAAGAATTGCCATTTATAGCATTTTTAGTTATACATTTCCTTAACATTGCAACACGATGCAGTAAGAATGGTAGATAACGCTATAATTCGTTAATGTTAGAAATTAATAAACTGATATTTGTATTTAAGAATTTTCTAACACCAGTCACATATGATATTATACATGTAGTATTACATTATACACATATTATACATACAGTGCGAGACAACGCCTATACGATCACTTATTGCCGGTTATTTCAATCACCAACCTGTAATTTCAATCACAGATCACGCAGCATTTTTGTGTTTAATAACAAACAAAAAATAGAAAATAATAAAAAGTAGCAGTGAATCACAGGCTCAAGAGCTTGATAGCAGGTTTCTGATACATTAAGACACCTTTATTTCGTTCTTAAAGTATTACATAATTTTCCATTTATACCGTATCACAGTATTTCCCCTTCTACTTTCGAAAAAGTAAATCAATTTGAAGAAAGTTCATAGCTCAGGTTAAAGTAGGGGCTAAATTCTTCAACCTACCGTTTTCTCTAGAATTGCTGTTCATCTCAAGAAGGGTCTGCAGCCACGAAGTTCAACATGGGGCGCTTCCGATAAAGTTTCGATAAGATGTTTGTTTTCGAATCTTCTTCCGCGTATATTCTGAAAATAATCAATGAACTAAAAAATGTATATTTGTCTGGTTTACATGCATTTTCGGATTGTTGGTTAAAGACTTGTGTACCTGCCATTATACTTGCGTTAACTATCACCCAAATGCCCCAGCATATTTCTAGGTATTTTCAAATCAGCAAAGATTAATCCGGATTTCAAAAGGGTAACTAAAATAATTTTTCAAATTGTAGGCAAACGCTTTTTATTTTTACTTATATTTTTTGCCAGCTGTTACAAAAATTAAACTATTGCAAATTGGAATTTAAAATTTATCTGAAAAAACGCGTTTTCAGTCTCTCAATATAGATTTAGAAAATTAAAATCTCCGGAAACGGCCATTTTTTTATATATTCTTCATTTTCGAAAGTATTTGATGTCAATTTTTATAACATTTTTATAACAATTTTTTTAAATATTTGTTATCAAAATTTGACATTCAGTTGCTCGGCAGCAGTGGTCGAGGCAACATCGAGCGCTCCGCTCAGTATAGCTCCGCGGTCTGTGACTAGTTTGCGTGTTTTCATCGAACTCAAAAATTTTTAAGTGACAGTGTAAAGTGAGCAGTCTACTGAAGTATAGAACTGTTCTTATTACGACATACCTGTTTCTCATTGTGAATGGGGAACAGGAAATAAATGGCTGAGACCGAAGCGGCTATCCGAGGGCGGGCCTCTGAGTACAGGAACCAGCTCGTTGAAGGAAAAGCGACCGGCCGTCCAAGTTACAATAGAGTGGTTCTCAACACCATGTACCCGGAGACGAAATAAGGTATTATAATTGAAGGCAAAGATCACAGCACATCTCTCGAAAGGACCGTAGGAGCTTTACCAACGATTGTTCTGCCTAGTCACTTCACGTATGCATCAAAAATTTCAAATAACAGGGTGGGTGTATTTTTGAGCAGTAGGCAGTTAGTAGACGAATTAACTGAGAAGCATAAGACTATTAATATTGAGGGCTCCTCCCAAAATATGCAATATGCGATCTCTTGTAAGTAGACAGAAGCGTATTGTAATTTCAAATGTTATCCTATGTTTCCTAATGCAGTAATTGAAGACGAACTAGACAAACTAAAAGTGATACGCAGTTCGCTTGTGTCATTTCTCATAACCCATTTTGGCAATGAGCAGTTCACTCATATCTAAGTTTCCGTAGACAGGTGTTCGTACCGGAAGACTTATTAAGTAAGATACCTGAAGCTATACTGATCACATGCAAAGGAGAAAGAAACTGAATTTACGTGTCTAGCGGAACTATAAAATTTTTTTAACTACAAGGAATAAGGGCAATTTGCGAAAAACTGCAAAAATACAGCAGACATTAACTCCAATCAATCGAAAGAAATTATTGAAAACAATGTTTAGATGACAACGAACAAAGAGACAAGGTGCCAAGCTACCACGAGTTTCCCCCACTCGACCAAGGCAAGCCTGTTAAGAGGACCTTATCACAGATCACAAGCACTCCCAGCAACAATTCAAGTAAACTTACGGAAGGACAATACAACCGTCCCCAAGGAAGAATTAACGGTGCTGTAAAACAAACTACGAAAAAGAAAATGAAGGTATCCAGAGAGAACACCATTAGTAGCGGCAGCAATAAGAAAAGCATAGTGGAGCTCCAGTGAAAGAAGAGTTAGAAGGATCCAACAATGTATTTACGTACGAGCAACTAAAAGACTTTTTGGGAAACACTTATGGTTCAAGTAGCCCCCTTCAAATATCTCTCAGTTACATCAACGGGACAGGGAGGCTAGTTGAAATGCTAAAAGAAATATACCCATTACTGTCTGGAGGAATAAGGAGAAAGTGGAATAAAATCAAGATTTACCTGAATTATGAAGAAACTGAAGAACCCAGTCTACTCAGTTTCTTCAGAAGAATCGCCCGACAACGATGAATTAACAAGCGAAGATCTTCAAATATGAAGATGAGAATTCTACAATGGATTGTGAACGGTTTACAGGACTATCACGCCAGCATCAAGAATAAACTACAAGAATTGGACAGACAGGAATGGATCAATAACGCTCGCTGCAAATTAAGACGTATGTGCGATTACGATGATTATAATCCAGCCACATCCTTCTGCAGAGCTTACCAGGTTGTGTTAACTAGATGCAGAATAAGTCACACCAAGATTACACATGCCCATCTGATCACCGGGAAAGCGGCTGTTGTGTGTAATGTTTCTATGTACATTAATAATTTATTTCTGTGCCCCAGGTTTGAAGCCGACCGGACGAGACATTGTGTCAATAACGAAATGGAAAAAGTACTAAAGGACAAAGAACAATGGAGTGGGTTTCTCAATTCCTTGAATGGCATAAACTTTTACAGTGATATGTGGATGTATGTATGTGTGAGTGTGTGTATATATAAATGTATATATAATATGTATAAACTGGTCAATATTGTGATATGAACGTTTTCTCCCAACTCTCCCAACGTGGTATAATCCACCATGTATAAAAATAATGTTATTGTGTAGATGTCGCTAATAACTTTTGATGCGACGTAAAATAAATAAACAAGCAAACAAACAAAATTTGTCATTTCCATAGACTAGATAACTTTGTAACTTAAAAAAGATCAGGGTACAAATACCGCACTGGAATCAAGGGATATTACTAACTCATTTTTCAATCATTGCGAATTGAGCATCGGGAAAGTCCCAAAGTTCAATTGTATGCCACGTCTTATTTTTTTATACGTAAATTATATACCCTGGGAAACTAAAAAAGGAATAACACTTATCTTCGCTGATCATAAAATGATTCTTTGTAAAAAAGAAATAATAAGTTGTACAATATATATGTCAAATTGGTTCCGTAATAACAAATTAATAGTAAAATTAGGGGAACACATACTTAAAGCAATTATTTTGGAGATGTACCAGTGTACTAAAGATACACTTCTCAGAAACCACAATTCGACTGGGAAGTTATTGCAAATCACTTCGTAAATAATTTGCCCCTAATGGTTTCCTCAAAATGACAGAACTAATCAACCAGTGAAGCGTACCGTCCACGTTGTCGACAATTGCTCTTTGATCTTTGGCGATACAAATCCCTTCCACAAAACATTCGTTAATCTAAGAAGCAATTGATATTTCCACCTTTTTGAGAGATCTCGGAAGAGCATTCAACAGAATACTGTAATGGGAAGGCTTTGTGGTTTTCTCTGCAATATTCGATTCGAACCCTAATTAACTCTGACCTTTTGTGAATTCCTAGAGATCAACACAGTTTACCATCCTGGAGACTGTGCTCACCTCATATTTCTTCTTTTATGGCCATACAACTAGAAAGTCTTGTCGAATTAAAATTTACTTTTTGTGGCAACATCTCTCATGTTAAAATTTACATAACAGGTATATTGAATGTATTATTATTATTATTGACTCAAATACTTCTAAAGATATCTTATGAAGAATCGTGACATCTTTGTAGTGTAAATATTTCTTTGTAAACTGCTTACTGCTTCTCTCTCTCCCTCTCTCTCTCCCTCTCTCTCTCCCTCTCTCTCTCCCTCTCTC